TTTTAGAACATAAATTATTATTAATGTATATATTATCTTGTTAGGCCAGAAGGACACAAATATTAAGTTGTAATGCGATTAAAAAATAAAAATAAAGTATAAAAAAAGTTACATAGTTATAACAATTATATTATATTATATTCTACAATACTTCTAACACGGCGATGTGTATAGGCAATTTAGCTGCATTAGTGTTTATTAAGATCGGTTGTTTCTAAACTAGTGATAACTGATAACTACAAAAATATTAAAATACATTTTACACAAACCGTAACACTTCATTGCTAAAGATCATTTTTTAAGTGAAAATTCACCTAAAAGCGTTACAGGTATACTCGACATTGCCAAGCCAAACAGACTATCGGATCTTGAATGCTGGTCACCGTCTTCCCTAGTAGTGCAGTAAATATTCGGCAGGTTAGCTGACCACATTTGTCAAATCTCGACCGTCTCGTGGTCTACGACAATAATACTGATGGCAGCCAGCCGATTATAGGTAAAAAATCACCAGCAAGAGATCTCGTCGTCACACGATGCTGTGGCGTCAGCGGCGGTGGCGGCTAGCGGATGCACTAGCTCGACCACTGGTAAAAAAGACAACAATCGCGGAACGGACGCCTGCGGCATAGTCTATGGTTAGGTTAACTGTTGTCAGGAGCAGAGTGGGTTACCCAAATGTATAAGAAATAATATATCACGTTAGATAAATTCTAAGGTGTATATGACACCGATTGAAATATATATAATACGATAAAAAAGATCAATTAAATAATAATAATAATGGACCCGGTATAGGGCACCCCGGGAATGAATTGGCAATACATATATTTAAATAATAATAATAGGTACGTAATATAGTATAAAAATACAAGAACACTGGTATACAAATACAAAATAATGAAGACGACCTGGTTCGTAGCAATTTGTCCGACGAGGCACATAGTCTTGGTAGTTGAAAAATGGTACGATGACACGATGTCTCAATAGAACGGCAATCGGGATCGCATACGCGGAGGCAACGCACAAAATGGTTGCCGACTGCCGATACGATGATAACTGGGATAAAGCACCAACGTAATGAACAAAACCGTTGGATAAAAAATCTCCACTACACCGTGATGTCCCAAACAAGTATGTATATATGAGTATATTTATATATTTATATATTTAAATTTATATATATACATAACCGAATCATTCTGCGTTCGAACATCCTACCCGCCGTGAGAGTCATCTCACACAAAAATTGCGTCGACCCGGAAGTGGATGTACATAATATTATTATATGAAGTCTGAATGATTTCAGCAGGAATCACAATCTAACCTAGGTCGTCTCACATTTTTTTATTAAGAAAAACAGAATAAATTGTAATCAAAATACCAGCAACAATTATGAAAAGATATACAAAATAAAGACTTAAAAAAAAAAAGCCTGAAATAGAAATAGAATTTAAAAAAGAAATTTCAAAAAAATGTAATTGTTTATAACTGAAATATGTTGACAAAGAAAAATAACATTTCGAAGAGGAAGTTGAAAAAATTCAAAAAAAAAAATGAATTTAATCAAAAAAAGGAAAGAGAAAACATACAAGAACTTATTTATTAAGAATTAAATGCTGATTCAGAATTTTAACATGGCACAGAGAGAGAAATAAGACTAAAACACAATCAGTAAAGATAATGTGCTTATAGATTTGAGTGGAAAAAATATCAACTTTTTAGACCACCATTAGAAAAATATAATAGTAATGTTCTAATAGAACATGAATTATAAGAAGGAACAGAAAAATATACACGAAAATCGAATGGAATGTTTTCATAGGTCAGTTCAAAAAAGAATTGAAAGACAAATTGAACGGCTGAAATATGAAATTTTGTTAGAAAAACAAAAAATGGATGATGATCTTTAACAAGAAATTAAAGAATTAAATAAAGAAATCATAGAACTAGATCCAAACAATTTTAATGAACTAAACAAAGAAATTTTAAAAGAAGTTTCTAAAATGGATTATTTACCTGTTCGAATGAAATTTTTTAAAAATCTCTATCGTTAATTTATCCAAGATTCAGCACCTTTTTATAATATATTTAATATATTAGACCGATTAAAGAATTGACAGCTGTGCAACAAAAATTAAATGAAGAATTCTTAAAAATATTAAAAAGATTATTAGTGAAAAGGTGTAACGAAGAAACACATGAAGCAGTTAATGGAGTTGAAAGAAATCAAAATCAATTTGAAGATATTGATGGAAAATAAAAATATCAGTATTATGATTTGATCGTACAATATAATCATGAAATGTCGCAAGAACTAGAAGGACATACACAACAGGTTTCAGGTAAAAATATGTTAGTTGACTTGTATGATGATGCAGTGAAAATATATGTAAATAAATCTGATATGAAGATGCATTAAAAGAAAAATTAGGTAAAGCGGGAACAAGTATAATAGACCAAACACAAAAAGAGGAAAATAAAAATATCATATTTCGGTTAGAATTTAAAAAAAATGTACAAGTTGATGAGGAACTATGGAAAAAAATGAAAAACAATTACAGAATAATACTGAAGAAGAAATAAACGGTAATCTCATGGTAAAAACTCAAGAAAATGAAATAGAGGTAGAAGAAGGCTCACATGTGGAAATAGAAGACTTAAAAGACGAAATACAAGTGTATTCTGTGATTTCAAATGATGAACATTTTGAAGAAGTAAATGAAAGTTCAAAATTCAAAATTGAAGGGAAAGTTCCAAATATTTTCCAAAAAATTGGAAAGAACTATTATTGTAGAGTCTGGAGTGAAATCCGAAGATTCTGAAAAAGAGGCTCAAAAAGATTCTGATGTGGATATTGAAGGCTTTGAAGGAAAACTAGAGTTTCCTGAAGTTAATATTGAAGACTTTGAAGAAGAATCTCAGGAAAATACTGATTCGTATACTGAAGACCTAAGTGAGGAAGAATTTAATGACGTAAATTAAGTAGTAAAAATAGTTGAAGATATAAAAGTAGAATCGAATTATTCAATAGACGATTATATATCTTCAAATAAAATACTAACTTCAACGTGCAATGAATTGAATTTAAAAATTGATCCAAACTCTAACCTTGCAAACGATGAAGAAGAAAAATTAAAACTATCAACTCATCTGACCCTACAATATTTATGGATCATAGAAAAAATTAAAAGAAAAACCATTTAATTTGTTCGAAAAATTACATTCTACATACAGAAAGCTATTATGCAAATTTAATGATTCAATAGAGTGGCCAGAGAATGTAAATAAATAGATATTTATATTATTCATAATAACTAGGCCGCATAACTTCATTCTCTTACAAAAGTACATTTATTATGTTTATTTAGGTACCAAAAATAAAAAAAATACAAATACTTTATAAAACTATATTAACTGAAACAGTTTAGTGTTAATATTCTTATGGCAATTAAATTAATATAATGTGCTTACTATACTACTAGAATAGCCTATACTCTCAAAATTAATAAAATTTTAAAACATCATTCTAAAATTATTAACATTTTCCTTTAGTAAAATTATACTTATTATTAGAATTACAGACAATTATGTACTTTTACAAATTAATGATTGAACGTATAATGATAATACATAAATATTGTTGTTTTTTTTTATTCTGGCTACCTATTTAAAAAACATGATACAATATATTCTGAAAACTGTGATTCTCAAAATGCATTTAATTTTAAATAATTTATATTATCATTGAACATAAGCTATGATCTAAAAATAGTAAAATTAAAAAATATGCCCTTAAAACTAAAATACCACAAAATATTTTAAAAAATATATAATATTGAGTTTAATATTTTTTTGTTGTAGTATCTTGAAACTAACTTCTAGCATACTAAGCAATAAATCATGTAACCTACAAAAACATGCATATATGCAATCACTTCCATAATAATAACTATTTGAATCATTGGCACATAAAGTTTGTTGGACATTTTGTTTGATGACCCTACTGAATTTAAACCTAATGTGTTGGTAGTTATATTACAGTATGTAAACAAAGGTTATTCGATAAAAATTAACACAGACAAGAATTCAAAATCACAAGAAGAATATTTTTTCAATTATTATGAGGACACAATATTATTGCATATGGAATATGAACATCTGCAGCCAGATTTGTTGGATTTATTAGATAGCACTAAACCCAGATTATTTTATTCTGGATGTGTTATTGCTGAAATTCATGATTAGGTAGATGAAGTTCCATGCCAAGTGTATAGGCTAGTACTGCGTCCTTTTAATTTGATAAGCTATTTAAAAATATAAATTATAATTTAGAAATATATGTTTTACTTTTATATTTTAATCCATAATATAATTACAATACTTAATTACAGTCCATTCAGAGATGTATAATTATAGACCGTATAATTGCTTAAAATAATTATGCCACTGATATAAATTATTGGTCAAATAATAAAAGATTAAAGCTAGAAAGTATATTGCTTAAAAAATAATATCCAGTTATGCCCATGTTATATTCATCGCCCAGGTAGTCTAGTAGTTAACAGGTTAACTGCCATGGCTTTTTTTAATGTTTATAACATGTTGCTATGTGTACCATTTCTGGTACATGGCTGAACATTATTATCGAGCCACATGTACCATATAAGGTACATTCGATTCATTGACATTAGTTACACTGTGCGCCAAAATGGGTACACGTAAATGTGATTTTCCTATGAGTTATGTTTGTGTGGCCTCCTAGTAATGTTTTAGTAAAAATAGCGAAACAAATTTATAATTTTTTAACATTTTAATCAATATTTTTATTAATGACATGTTTTACTATAATATAACAATTAATTACAATATTTTTTTTTTATTTTTTTTTGTAACATAATCATTTTTTTTAAATTCCTTTTATTTTGTAACATTTTATTTTTATTTTTTTTTTGTATGCATGAATTCGAAAAAAACAATCCAAACAAAAATAGGAATCACATTTAGGACAAATCGTTGATACGCGAGAAGTTTTCTTTCTTGCTATCTGCGTTCCTGTATACAAAAATGTATTTATTTAATACAATAAAATATAACAATTATGTATAAGTATATTACCTTCTGTTCGAGAAATGTATTTGTAGCATTGATTACATCGACCTCTTTTTTTATTGTTTTCCAACTTATGTTCATCATATAATTCTGGAACTTCTGGAACTTCTGGAACACTGTTTGATTGCTGAATTAATCCATTAATAATGTCGTCTTTGAACTGGGTAATTGTCTTAGAATTTCCAGTGACTCCTTTATAAATACTAAAAGCATTCAATAATGATGTGTTGCAAATAATATCCATAGCAACTTTACGGTACCACTTCACGCCTCTTCTTAGACAGCTACTATAAGATCCCATTTGGTCAGTTAAATCGATGTATCCCTTACCACGGTTATAGTCGATAACAACTTTTGGTTTTATTTTAATTCCTCTTTTAGCCATGACTTCTTCCATCGTGTTTGAATGTTTTGTACTTATCATAAGAACATCTCTACGGTCTCTCCATTTTAGTACCATAATTTCGCGATCACTCTTTTTTGCAAATATTTCACCCCAGTTAAGTTTTTTTTGTGTTACATCTTTAGGATTTCTTTTTCTATTTGATCTAAGAGTTCCTACTAAGTGTGTTTTCTGTTGCAATAATTTTTGCATACAATGTTCTACCGAAATCGAGATATGGTTCCATTAGTTCCATTACTACTTTACATGAAACTGAATCACCCAATGTCGCTTCTTTTCCTGCATATATTTTATATTTTGACGTATAAAAGTCCCGTGTACACAGCTTAAAGATTTTGACTCCATAACGATGACGTTTATTAGAAATATACTGCCGAAACGATAATCGACCCAAATAAGGGACCATAGACTCGTCGATACAAACTGACTCTTCAGGAATTACTGCACTATTGAACTTTTCGACGAGTAAATCAATCAATATTTGGATTTTGTATAATCTATCATTAGTAGGAGCTTTGTCATTATCAGAAATGTGTAACATACTCAAAATAATTTCAAACCTGTTTCGAGACATAAATTTTGGAATATTGCAAGAATATAATTTAGAATTTTTCCAATAGTGAGCAATTGATGGCAGTTTCATCATGCCCATCCACATAGCAATACCAAAAAAGAGTTTAATTTCCTGCTCATTTGTGTCGACCCATTTTCTAATTCTAGCATGTCGAGATAAGCCTGCTGTGTTTTTTTTAGCATTAGCATACCTGTTTGTTTCAACCACTAACATGTCAATAATTTCTTTGTCAAAAAAAAGATAAAAAAAGTCGATAGGACTGGCATCAGACATAGTTTCAATTATATCTGGATTTATTCCAGTAGTATTTACATCAGGATTAAAAATTATATGACTATTTAGCTGTCCATTAGAAAAATCGTTATTCCAATTATTAACAATCGTATTAGTAGTTACGTTACAATTATCCAATAATTCACGTTCGTAAATATTTTCGTCCGGTTCACTTTCCGAGGACCAGTTTGGATCAGCGTCAGTATCGTCGTAATCTTCCGAATATGAGTCCGAATTTGATTCCAGCATAGCTTCTATTTCTTGTCTATTCATTTTCGATTTCAATATTTTATAAATATACAAAATAAACAAAAGAATTTGAAATTGATACGAGGCAACAAAACGCAATGAAATACAACCGTCTACTAAGACAAATCCGTGTGTCCGTGTATAGTTTGTCGATAGCCCGTATACGACAAAATATAATCAGAAATAATAAACAAGATATAAAGGGAAAAACCTAAAGAATAATAAAATAATATCATGTCTAAATGAGCGATAAGATAATAGTTCCAAGACATGGACATTATGCGTACCATCTAGGAAGTACTTTACTAACATTTATTAGATTATTATTAGTCATGATGATTAAACTAATCGTGTACAGTTAATGGTGCACGTGGCTCTGCAGTATAAAATTAAGTGTAAGTTATAATGCAGAGCCGCGTGTACCATTTTTGGTACATGTTAAAATCATTAATTTTTTAGTATAAATAATTACATAATAACCATTCAAATACTAAAAGCATAAACTAAAAAGCTTATTTTATGATTATTGTGGTATAGCGTATTGGACAAACATTGTAATAAATTGTATTAATTGCTTGGCAATACAACAGTGTACCATATATGGTACACATGGCAGTTAACCTGTTAATTTACAGCATCAAGTGTTAAATTGACGTACTAAATCCATTTAAGAGGAAAAATAACTGTTCAAAGTCCAAACCATACAAAACAGATTCATTCAATGAATCTAATGACAACTTAAATACATCAATGTTGTCAAATGAACCTCAAGAAGAATCTTCAAAATTAATGGTTGGTTAAAAATATATTTTATTGGACCGATGGACCTGATAACACGATAATACTTCTGAAAACTGATTTGTATTCGTTAATATGTTTACTTGCGATCGATTAGTCTACTTTTAAAAATGTTATTCCTTAAGTCCTAAAATTCTGTTTGAAAATTAAAAATTTAGGAAATTTTAAATATTGACTATGTGAAAATTTAATTTAATATCAGATCCATTAGTAAGATTGAAAAAAAAGTACATACAAATGAGAATACATTGTTTTTCGTTTGCAAAATTGAAATGTTATAGGAGTAACCACGTCATCAATAAAATAAAAATATAACAATTTACTAAGCATCCCATACATATTTGTAATATTTGTAGAATCATTAGGTAATCATTAGTCATTACTTATTGGTAATGAGTAAATTCCTACATAATCATTAATATTATTACGTATTAGTTATAATTACACTTGTATTAATTTATAGAAATACAGCAAAACTTGGAGTAAATAGTTTAAACCTATAGTATCGTGGTAGTTCATCGTATTTACTACTTACCCAATTTAATAAATACCCGGGACGCTGTTTCATTTTTATTTTCAATAAACAACCCAATGAGTGCGGCCGTAATAGATTATAATAGTGGATTTGTGGGCATTAAGTCGTTAACAAAATAGTCTCGTCAAGACTCGACTGTATCATGTATCGTCGAAAATTATTTTTCACATCCTAATTTTCTTACTACTTTCTCTGGAGCTGTTCGCTTTGACATATTATTTGTATTCTTAAATGGTAAAATACAATTGTTGCGTACGCGAGATATTTTACTTATATAATAAAATTGGTAGATACCGAAACGATTATTTGTATAGAGTATAAATGTAAGATAAGATACGTCCGATAGAGCGGTCTTCGATGACGGGCGATCGGCCGTCGCAGTCGCAATAAAACCGTACCAGTGTAACGTACACGTCGTAGCCGTTCAATATTAATATTCGATTATGAACTAGCGAATAAAGAGAAATAATATTAATTCAATGTTATTGTTTTATTAAATTAAGCATTGAGCTATCGTAATCAACAATAATGGTTTGATTAAATATTGTATTCTCACTATTAAATATTAATTGAATAATATTTGATTTTATATATTGTGTGACCAATTAATTATATTCTAATAAATAATAATGAATTTGATTATTATAATATTTAGTATAGTTGTGGACCATTTACTTTAACAAACTTAGATTTCACCATTCATTAAAGTTAATATATAAATAAGTAACTAACTTTAATACAAAAATTTACTTAAACATTGTAAGACATTTATTGAATTATTGTTTTTGTTAGCTTTAAAAAAAGGTAGGGTAGGTATAATTATTAATTTTATAGTTAAAATAAAGTACTTAACTCATTTTTAACTAAGTTAAGTTACTTTTATTGTCTAATTAACTTGTTACTTTTACAAGTGAAAAAAAAATAAAGATAACTTTTAATCTTAAACTTAACTTAAAGAGTTAGAAAAAATAGTTAACTTGCAAAGACTTGTATATTATACTACGTATATATTATATGTGTACATGAATGCATTTCACTTGCATGGTTAGTAATAAGATGAATAAAAAACACATCTTATATTTAAAATAAGCTTCCTTGAGTAGACAGATTATATAATTAAATATAAACATATGAATTGTTCAAACGACTGAGATTTCATTTGTTAAAAATAAATAAAATATGAAAAATGTGTATCAAAGCAATACACATCTGGGTTGCTTTCCATACACGCTTTCAAGTGACAATTTCCAACTTGATCGTTAATAACCCACTATTAAGGACAAGAAGAATGTGTCGAACTATTTTGTTCAATGTTATTATATTGTATGATTAAAATCATAAAAATGTTTGGTTTTGATGTGGCAATATCTACATCAGAGAGTTTTTATAAGTCAGCTCATGCAATATCAGCTGCCTGTAAGCAACATACATGTGCGTCTGATCAGTTAAATTGAGCACCTTGATGTTCGTGACATAATTTGTAAGTGAATTATGAGCATTTTCAAATACTAATACTTTACATACACATAACTCCCTTAAAAATTAAAATAACGTAAAAAACAACGACAAAACACATATAATGTTCGGACCTAAAAGTTTGATAATAGATCAATTCACTCTCTTATCAAGACTAACAGAACACTATTGAAACTGGTGAATGCAAGTTTAGTGTCATATGTGTGTAAGATAACACATAATTTCGTGTTGGGGATCTATTTGCTTTTGAAATTAAACTTTAGTCATTTGCTAATTTTTATGGGCTCCTTTTTTGCCATTTATACCTGTTATCATCAATTTAATGTTGAAACTTGAAAGTATAAGGTATATACAAAAATATAATATATGTATTATAATTATACAGTCAACTTCTCGATTAGCGTACTCCTACTTAGAATACTTTTGTGTTTTTGTTATTCTTTGTCACTTCTTAACTTTTGCTTATAACTTTGTTTTCATATTCCAATTGTTGCATATTTTGTTGTTTTTAACCTTGCATGTCTTTAGCATATGTTTTGAGATATTTAAAGTACAATTATAGCACATGTTTTTGGTGCTATACAATCCCAACCCTGATTATTACTCATAACATCTATCCACCACATCCCAACACCTTATTCAAAATTCCTGGGTAGGTTGTAGATTCTCATACAATATTTGTGTGCATTTCAATTCTTAGTTAAAAGGCCACAAATCAAATATACAAATGCATATATTTTTAATATTGTACCCGAAATCAAGCATAGGTATATTAGCTGTAGATTCATAAATCTTATAAAAACAAAAGATAATATAAAAAAAAATCAATTTTATTCACAATGAAATATACGTAAAATATAAAATTACATACCTCCATCAAATGTATATTAGGTACCTATATAATATATATAGTCTTATATTTATTCATTATTGGTCGAAAACAACTTTAAAAAAATAATGTGATACACTCATACTTCCAAATTGTACAAAATCAATTTTTACTTTTAAACAGAATATTTTAAAAATCACAACTTAACTGATACATATAAAGACCAGTATTTTTATTCTTCAGTACATTTATGATATAAAAAATAAGTTAAAAAAGTATCTGTTTATAAAAAATTACTACGCTAATTTGGAAATTTTAAATAAATAGTAATAGGTTAATATTGGAATAATTATGAAATACAATAAAAAAACTACGTAGGTTCATCTATGTTGTACTCCGTTGTTTCTAAATATTAGTGACAACTAATTTACCATCTTTAACTTACTTTACTAACTCAAAACTTAACATTAACTGATTATTACAAAAACAATATACATAATATTGCACAAAACGTAACTCTTTAATGTCGATAATCATTTTTTATTGGTAAGCCATCGTCGTTTTTTTAATTCTATTTTCAATGAAAATTTTATTAATGACTCATATCATAGGAATAGCCACATCCACCGTTACTAATATAGTATAAGGTAATATTAAACTCTACAAATTCATAATATTTACCATCTATTTATTGTACAACATATGTAATAACTTTACTGTATGCTAAAACTTGAAAAAATTAATTCATTTACAAACAAATCATATAATAATTTATAGAATATAGCAGTAGGCGTCTTTAGAATTTAGTATAATTTATATCACTTTTCATTTTTAAATTAAAAATTTTTTTTTCTTGTGACAAAATATTTTAAATTGCAGAGAAAATAACCAATATGACTTTTTTATAAACAAATTATATAATAATATATTCTTAAATATGAAATATTTACTTCATTCTTTAATCTTTAAAATGTCTTTAAACATGTCAAATAATTTTTATCTAATTATAAAATAAAATACTGAATAAGTTATCCAGATTATTTACCCCAGTTGACCAACATAAAGCCAACATATATATGTAAAAACCTACAAATATACGCTCCCTAACTATTGGTATTTATTGTAATTTAAAAATGCATTATGATGCATTACTAATACCATATTACTACGTAATATTGTTATTAACTTTTCAGTCAATATACCGGCATCTCATGTATACCTACATAACGGTGTTAACTGGTCCATGGTACGTATTATATCATATATTATCTATTAACACCATGGTAATGACAAAAATATTTTTTACGAAACTTATTTTACCCGAAAAATATACTATAAGAAAATATTTACAAAAAAAAATATTTTATCCGAACCGTATTTTATCCA